ATTATTGTCTCCAGGTTATTTTTGGATAATATGGGCTTCAGTTTAGACAGCCGCCTCAGTTGGAAGAAACATGATTTAACAATCATGTTTACGTGATTGTTAAGTTTCAGGGAACGGTCCGTTATCACTCCCAGATTAGTGACTCTTTGTTTTTCTGACAGGGTTAGAGCGGAGAGGTCGATGCAGTGGTTTGTGACCGTGTCGTTGGGAGGGAACAACATGACTTCAGACTTCTTTTCATTGAAAGTTAAGAAATTTAAAGCCATCCAGTCCCTGATGTCAGCCATGCAGTCGAGCAGAGGTTGAAAAGAGCATGTACCATTGTGTCTTAGGGGGAAGTAAATTTGACAGTCATCGGCGTAGAAGTGAAAAGGTATGTTGTGTTTCCGGAAAATAGCACCAAGTGGCAGCAGGTATAAAGAGAATAGGAAGGGACCCAGGATGGACCCCTGCGGAACCCCCCTTTTAAGCTCTGCCGCTGCAGAACTAAAATCCTTGATGGAGACACAAAATGATCTGTCAGCGAGGTAGGATCTGAACTAATTGAGGGCTGACCCTGTGATGTCCACCCACTGCTCCAACCTAGCAATGAGGATCTCATGGTCGATAGTGTCAAAAGTGGCTGTAAGGTCCAATAGGACAAGCAGCACAGAATCACCGGTATTTGTGGATAAGAAAATGTCATTAAAGACCTTCAGCAGGGCAGTTTCAGTGCTATGGAGAGGTTTAAAGCCAGATTGGAATAGCTCTATGATAGCTTGAACCTACAGGAAGCACTTCAACTGGGACTCGACTATTTTCTCCAGTAGTTTAGAAACAAATGGGAGTCTGAAGACAGGCCGGAAGTTGGATACGACTGAGGGGTCAAGGTTTGGTTTTTCAGGAAAGGCTGGATAGCAGCATGTTTAAAGGTTTTTGGCACCATGCCAGTGGATAAACTGCTATTTACAATAGCAAGAATGGACGGACATAGAGTAGGAAAAACCTCCTTTAGTAGTCAAGGGGGGACCACATCAAAGGGGGAACCAGAAGGTTTCAAGCTACACATGACCTGCTCTAGAGAAGATAGAGTGATGGGTTCAAAATGGTCAAATAGAGCTACAGATTGAGGTGGGATGGATGGGTCATGAGTTGGAGGGGAAATGAGAGCCAGGGTGGTCGCAATTTTTTCCAAAAAGAAATGTAAGAAGTTCTCGCACAGCTCACTCGAGGCTTCCAGAGGTGATGGTTCAGTGAGGTGGAGAACAGAGTTTAGGGTAGAAAAGAGGACACGTAGGTTGTGAGAGTTTGAGGTAATGATATCAGAAAAGTATTTGGATTTAGCAGCTTTTACTGCTTTCTGATAATGGC